TCCTAGTGTACTCTAAGAGCCCGGAAGAACATGTAGTACATTTATCTTAGGTATTGGAGACCCTTCGTCGAAACCAACTATATGCTAAACTCAATAAATGCTCTTTTTGGTTAGATCGAGTCTTCTTCATGTGCCATGTAATTTCGAGTGAAAGAGTTTTTGTGAATCAATCCAAAGTTGAAATAGTGATCAACTAGAGCCTGCCAACCAACGTAGCTGAGGTACGTATTATCCTTGGTTTAACAGGCTACTATCGATGATTCATCGATGGATTCTCCAAGATTGTTGCTCCGTTGACCCGTCAAACTAAGAAATGTGTACCTTTTGTTTGAGATTATGAATATGAAGAAAGTTTTATGGAATTAAAGTATCGTCTAACTTCTGCTCAAGTGTTGATCCTCATCGACAACACTGGAAGATTTCAGGTTTAATGTGATGCATCTCACATTGGTTTGGGATACATTTTGATGCAGCATAGTAGAGTAGTCACTTATGGATTCAAACAATATGAGCACAACTACCCTACTCATGACTTGGAATTGGCGGCCATAATCTTTATCTTAAAGATATGACGTCATTATTTGTTCGATCAGATGTTTGAAATTTATATTGATCACAAAAATTTGAAGTATATATTCTTGAGAGGCAATTGAACATGAGACGGAGAAGTTGGATGGACCTCCTGAAAGATTATGACTGCAAGATCATCTATCACTCTAGTAGAGAAAATATGATAGCAGATGTGCTGAGCCAGAAGGAGTCTGCTGTATTGGCCTAAACCATGGTCTCTAGTACGAAATTAGTTGATGCTATGAAGACACTCTGCTTTAACTATTATGGCAACGATACTTATCTTGCTCAGATCCAAGGTTTGACCGATCTTTATATGAAGATTTGGGAAGCTCAGTACACAGACCAAGGAATCATTAAAAATTTAAGTAAGTTTACCTCTGATGAGTTTTTTTATTTCAGGCTCACATATCATAGGTTATGTAGATTTCAAGACCGTATTTGGGTCCTATTGCTGTCAGTACAGATATTCTCAAGGTTACCCATGCCTTAAAATTGTCCATCCATCCTGGAAATACCAAGATGTACTGGGACCTGAAACGTTAATATTCGTGACCTAAAATGAAGAAGGACATTGTCGACTATATCTTCTGATGTCTCACTTGCCAACAAGTTAAGACATAACACTAGAAACCCAACAGTTTGTTGCAGGGCCTCCCTATTCGGGAATAGAAATGGGAGCATGTAACTATAAGCTTTGTCACTGACCTGCCTAGACCTGCTCTGGTCGTAATACCATATGGGTCATGGGTCATTATTGATAAATTAACCAAGACTGCTCACTTCTTACCCATCAGAACTACTAACTTCATCAGTAAATTAGCCCGCTTGTACATTAATGAAATTGTTCGACTTCATGGCGTCCCCTCATCCATTGTGTCCGATCAAAATCCTAGATTCACCTCCCACTTTTGGGATAGTTTTCAAGAAGCACTTGAGTATGGATTGTACTTCAGTACTGCTTATCATCCCTAGATTGATGGTTAATATGAACACACTATTCAGACATTGGAAGACACGTTGCGTGCTTGCATCCTCGACTTTAGTGATAATTGGTATGAGTATATTTTCCTGTGTGAATTTGCTTATAATAACAGTTATCATTCTAGTATCATCATGGCTCCGTATAAAGTCCTGTATGGTAGCCCCTGTCGTTCTCCCACTTGCTGGAGCGAAGTCAGAAGCCAGCATCGTTTGGACCTGATTTCATATGGGAGACTATGGAGAAGGTTGATATCATCCGTAGGAACTTGGCCACGACCTAGAGTCGGTAGAAGAGTTACGTGGATAACTATAAAAGATTCTTAGAATTTGCCGTTGGTGACCAAGTCTTCCTCAAAATTTTTCTTTATAAGAAAAAAATGTGGTTAGAAAAAAAAGGTTGAGCCCCCGTTATATTAGACCTTTTTGGATCGTAGAACATGTTGGATTCATGGCATACCACCTACTCTACCCCCAAGAGTTTGCGGGTCTACATGATGTTTTTCATATCTACATGCTTAAAAGGTACCATCCTAACTCTTCTTATATCATTTCTCACGAAGAGATGTAGGTGCAAGCTGATCTGACAGACAAGAAACTCCCTATGAAAATCCTTGGTTGGACCGACAAGATTTTGCTCAACAAGAGGATCCCCATAGTGAAGGTGTAGTGGCAACACCACACTCTAGAAGAGGCAACGTGAGAGTTGGAAAGTGAGGTGAGAGAGAAGTTTCCAGACTTATTCATGAAAAATTTGGGGGACCAAACTTTTTAAGGTGGAAAGAATATAATACTCTGAAAACCTTTGCACTTAATTTGTAATAGTGAATCCCCTATTTATTCAGGCCTTAAGGCCACTTAAGCTCTTTAATTATTTCGTAAGTTTAAGTTTTTTGATAAATATTGTATTTCGCATTTTAAATTTCGTATTTTTATTTAATTGGATAATTCTTAAAATTTATCACTATATTTTGTCCTAAAAAAATATTATTTTTGTTATTATTTAAAAATAATTTTCAAGAAAAACGGAGAAAAAGCAAAAATCCTGAAGAAAAACACTCATGGGAAGGGTCCTGCCCAAGCGAGCACCGTATGCCGCTCGCGCGGGCCAGCAGAGGACATACATACTGTGCACACATCCCATC